CCCTTTAGTCAAATAAATGTATTATTTATTTATTTATTTCCCTATAGAACACATTTTTGAAGACTTTCTTTTTCTAATAATATTTTCTTATCGATGAATGTTTATCTTATTTTAATTCGAAACAAATTAAAAATATTTTTTAAACTGTAAAAGCATTTTTGATCCATTAAATAATAATAAGGATATTTGTAGACAAAAATATTGACAATACAAGTATGTTTATACCAAACTATAAATGAAGGCAATTTTCTTCATTTCACATGATTTAATGATATTTTTGACCTTTATCGGAAAAAAAAAAGGTTTTGCACTTTTTTTCCCTACATATTTCAATACTTTTTTTAAAAAAAAGTAAAAATAAACAACTAGGTTTTGCTCAAAACGAAAACTTCACTAGTTTTCAACTTACAACCAAAGAGTGGTTGTTTATTGGTTTGGGCCCTAATGACTATCCAATTCACAACCCACAACATGTAGGCCCAAACTATGGTTTAGAGACCTGGGCTGCATCATGATTTAAACCAGGAAGCTCATTTTGTTATAAACAAGGCCTAGAGCCCAAAATAGTAGGCACCGTATAGCTATTGTATACTTAACTACAAATAATAACAAAATATTTTAGAATAGAGAGGAGAAAAGCGAGCGAGATTTGGGAGATATGAGAGGGTCGAACTTTTTTTTTTTTGGTGAATTTTGGAGGAAAAAATACAAATTAATTTGTACCAAAATGTTAAAAAAGAGAAGCAAGCGAGATCGAGAGATGGGGAAGAGAGGTGATCAAGATCGAGAGAGGGAGAAGAGTGAGGAACGAGATAGAGAGAGGGAGGACATACGATTGTATTTATTTTGCATTGTGTTATATATTTATTTTGTATCAGTTGTATTCGAAATATGAGGAATTGTACTTTATATTTATTTTTTGTGTACTTTGTATTTAATTTCATTGTATTTTTTATTTATTTTGTATTAATTGTATTGGAAAATGAATACAGTTGTATTCATCCTCTCTTTGATTGGATATGAATAAATTTGACAAAGAAGATGAAGGCATATTATATTCGTGCGAATACAAAGTCGATTGATACAAAACAACACAAAATACATTTTTTCAAATACAATTGAGATAAAATATAAAACTCTCATTTGTATTTGATTGAATACAATTAAATACATAGTATATTTGATTTTCTTCTTATTGACATGAGAGAGAGGAAAGGGAGAGAGAGAGAGAGAGAGAGATAGGAAAGGGAGGGAGAGAGAGAGAGAGAGAGAGAGATTGATACT